GGCAGCTGCTGGAGGTAACGGCAGCTTGGGGGGGAGCAGCCCTGCTTGGCTCCAGCTTTGTTCTCCTAGCCTGAGCGGGGGGGGGAGGGACGCGGGCTGCTCCTCTGTACCCAAAAGCTCACAGGGCCAGAGATTGCTGTGCCGCCCGGCTTTAACCCAGTGCCCAGGGCTGCGTCTGCACTGGCATGAGTTTGCACAAATACTTTTAACGGAAAAGTTTTTCCATTAAAAGTATTTGCGCAAAAGAGCGTCTCTACTGGCATGTGCCTTTGCGCAAAAGCATCCGTGCCAGTGTAGACGCTCTCTTGTGCAAGAAAGCTCCGATGGTCATTTTAACCATAGGGGGTTTCTTGTGCAAGAAATTGATGTTGCCTGTCTACACTGGCCTCTTGCACAAGAATACTTGCGCAAGGGGACTTATCCCTGAGCGGGAGCGTCAGCGTATTCGCGCAAGAAGCCCTGATTTCGTACACTAGAATGTCAGCGTTCTTGCGCAAATACTCGCGGCCAGTGTAGACAGGCGGCAAGATTTTGTGCAAAATCTTGCCAGTGTAGATGCAGCCTAGGTGTGTGTTTCTGCGGGTGGTGCACATTCCCCCATGCCTCGGTGCACGTAACAAAATGTATTCCTCATATGCTTATAAGACGCAGAGGAGATCTTTTTCAGGGGGAAAGGCAACACGCTGCGTTTATTGAAACGACATGAAAAGCAGCGCGAATAGGTACTGGCCAGGCAAGGCTGACTGAGTGAGGAGTCGGCATCTTTCGATGGCCATTCGAGGCTCCTCCGAGGCTTGGCTTGCAGAACCGAACCCCAACAGCAAGAGCCCCCCGTTGCATAGATGTCAGTGCCCCTGTATAGATATCAGTCCTCCCTCCCCTGGGGTGTTCATCTCCACGTTTCCCGCAGTTGTTCTTTGATGACCCTGTCAGGCTTCCCAGCCGCATCTCCTGTGTGTGTCTCGCTCTTGGGGGCGCTCTGCCTGTCTCCGGGCTCTGTCAACGCTGCTAATTCAGTTCAGCCTCGGACACCAGGGGTGGTTCCTGGTGATCTTGAAGGTTCCCGCTTCTTGCCCCCCCCCGGGCATGGGGGAAGCCTTTCACACTCGCACCGGACAGTTCCACGGCGCACATCAGACCCGACGGAGCGACTAAGGGAATAGCAAGAGGGAAGGAACCTTGCACAACAGAGCGTGCGATGCGGACGAGGACGCGCTAAAATATTAGTTTGGCTGCGTGCACCAGGCTGCGAAGAAAGAGAGGGAAGGGTGGAGCTGAGCCCTGTGGCAGGAGGGTGTGGAACCCAGAACCAGGGTGGCTGCTGGTTCCCGGAGCAGCTGGTCTTGGGAGCCAGCCGCCCCGTCCTGGGCTGGCCCTGATGTGACCCTGTTCCTTGGCTTCCAGGAGAACTACGGCCAAAAGGACGCGGCGAAGGTGGCCAAGGTGAAGGAGCTGTACGAGGCTGTGGGCATGAGGGCCGCCTACCAGGAGTGTGAGGAGAGCAGCTACCGCCGCCTGGAGGGGCTGGGGCTCCCCAGAGCCATTTTCCTTGGCCTGGCCCAGAAGATCTACAAGCGTCAGAAATGAAGGAGATGGGGGGGCTGGCTCCGCCCAGGGGGCCCTGCTTCTGGCAGGGGAGCTGCCGGCTGGGGCAAGGTGCTGCTTTCCCCACAGACAGACAGCCACTGGGGCAGCCCTTGGGGCAGCGTCTGCCCCAGCCTGGCTGGCA